TTAAACACTTCGCTAGCGGTTTGACGTTTGCCGTAAACGTCAATCTTAAGGTATCTAATATGTTGTTGCGCTTCCTTCTCAAGAGATCAACTGCATCCAATGGAAAAATAATATGCAAGTCAATAGACATTTCTTATATTAATACTATAACAATATGTTGTTGCTTCGTTCTTAAGAACTCACGCAATATATCAACGTAATTTTGCTTCTTTGTCAAGAGACCGCGCGTACATAACACGGGAACGGGAACATCCCATAGAAATAATAGATATCTATTATTTGATATCTAATATCTAATATCTAGATATCTAATATCTATTATTTCTATGGAACATCCTTACATGAATAAATAATTAATATAATATGTTGTTGCTTCGTTCTTAAGAACTCACGCAATATATCATATAGCAAGGGAGTATCTAATTGGAATATAGCAATATAATATGTTGTTTGTTTCTTAAATGACGCAATATATCTATATAGCATAATATGCTATGGGCGTATATGTCGTTGCTTAATCGTTTTCAAAAACCACGCAAACATCGTATATCAAAATAATATGTCTTTATTTCTCTCTTGAAGTCGTACTTACACTACAAGCCTTCGCCTGGCCTTGGCCTACATTTTGGCAGTGTAAAGTGCAAACAGACTTTGGCCATAGCCATAGCCTGACCTATAGGCCAGGAAATCTGGGCCAAATACAACCGGTGGCCTAGGCCTGGCCTACGCTTGTGCGGGCTACACATATAAATACACAAAATTAATTACAAAATTCTAGACCAAACTCAGCGTTCTCAAAAAAATAATGTAAGGGTGTAAACGCGGCACATTTACCAAGGCTTGTAGTGTAAACAGGACTTTAGTCAAAGCTGCTAAAACTACCGCTGATGCGCAGGATATAACCGTCGTGGGAACAGACTATAAACTCACAAAATCTTTGGCAGTGTGTGCATGGGCGACTTTTGTCGGAATACGACTGTTACTAGGTTACCCACAGGGCAGTAATGCTGCCTTTGCTTCACTTACCGACCGCCTTGCCATCTTGTTGCGCTCTGCCTATATGCATGTAGTTCACTTTATTTCGAACGTAAAGTTCTATCAGTTGTTTTCTCAAATCTCAGTGCAAGGTTTAGATATGAAGATGGACATATATAAATATATTTTAGGGTTTGTGGAAGAATTAATATATTTCCCACACAACAATTTCAATAGCCTATCGCATATTTTTAGGTGCATATACCAACTGGACATATTACCTTATGGTATATATTCCATATATAAAGTTTAATTGTGTTATCAACCCTATAAGGGTTCAATAACAATGCATGCAAGCGTATTTGACGTTGCAAATGCAAAACGAATAAATGCATGCAGTGAAGTGCTGAATAATATAAGTATCGACACTTAGGTAGCTGTGCACATCCTGTATTACCTAAAATTGCATCCTAAAATTGGGCAAGCCTGGGAAATACCGCCTGCCATGCAGGCTAATTATTGTTATCCTTGTTAACCCATTTATTGACAGTACCCTACCACTGACTGAGTATTAAAAATCGTCTGGCGTTGGACAGGGTAAATACTAAAGTAGGGGTCATTACTGTGCTGATGAATTAACAAGAGCCATTGGCAGATAGGTTTGTTAGCCCATTTACTGGCAGTACCCTATACCACTGACGAGTAAAATCTTCTGGCGCTCGACAAGGGAAGGGCGCATTGCCAGCTAATGGGTTTTATAAACCACCGTGGTTAAACATAAGATTTCATGATGTTCCAGGAAATGTAAACAAGCTATCAGTGTGACATCCCAGTTTATATATTTATATACTCGGAATATTGATTTCTCGGTACATACAAAATTATTTTAAAGTATAACAACCAGCGAAGACGTAAGGCACTAACTATCAATATTTTCAAAAGCGGCCAATTAGACCAAGGGTTAAAGGGCAATGACAATGACATGCAAGTGACATTTAACATTGCGTCTCACTAATTAAAATTTGCGTGTTTAATAGTGTTTATCAAAGAAAGCAAAAATAGTATATACAAGACAATCTCACATGTGGAGTTTTTTCACTTACGTACTGCCTTGTGATGCAGTACAAGTATAAATACAAATGACAAAGCATTTGTAAATCCTAAAACATAATTAAATCATACGGCACATTTAAGATTTTAATATCTTATTTCAGCCGCGTTTATACTGTTTGGCGCATTCGCTGCGTTATATTCATTTACATGTATATACACAGAAAAGCATGTCATTGTCCTTGCAGACCATAGGCAAAAAGCATTTGTCAACCATGCACATACCTTAAATCATATACATGTCATGGAAAGAATATGGAAATAATGTTGAATGAATGAAAGCTAGCATCGCGTATAATATTAAAAGCACCGCATATAGTGCTCGACGAACCACTGCGTATAATTGCAAAAGCATCGCGTATATAAATGGTGAAAGCACCGCGTATAATACTGGAACCACCGCGTATAATGGCGAAACGAATTCACATTGATGAAGCATGATCACATTGCCTGTTTGCCTTATGCCTGACCGCGCTGCACCACCGTTAAAATTCACTGGTACCGTCATGCAATGCGCCAAATAGAAAATTTTGATTTCGACCCACAAAACAAAATTAGGATCTGCTGCCTTGCTCGCTCGCTTCAGGCTCGCTCGCTGCGGCAGCAATAAATATACTTTAATTTATTACTATTGTAGTTCATATAAAGTGGCTCGAGAATTCAAACTTTTAAAAAATTGGCAGTTTAAATTACTTTTGGAATAAACAAAACAGAATTTACATCGGAGATGCCGGTTTGGTGCATTAGTATGTAATACTATTTATACGTATTAATATAACGAACGGAACTCAAAAATATATTGATATTAAATGGAAGACAATACCATCGATCCAAACATTACAATAAATTTCAAAATCATAGTTACATATTATATGATCAGCTATATGAGCGAATATATGCATGTTTCGAAATTGCACCGGCTTACGGCTGAGCAGTTAAAATGTTTACAAATTGACAATAACAAACTTTTAACTATAAAACTGTAAAACTCACAATAACCGATAAAAGCAACGTTTGTAGATCGAGTAGTAAGTTTCAGAAATACATAAAGCGACATGTATTTAATAGGATACATAATTTGTCAAAATCAGTATTTTCAAATTGATCGGATACAGCTACCGTATTATTTAGAGAAATACCAAAACGTGCATGGGTTTGTATCCATGCTCATCGACTTGTCAAGGAAGATATCCAATGAGAAATCCTGCCAAACTGACATCTCGACGATTTCCAGCTGTTCAGTTTTTAGTTTAAAACCCAAATTCACAGCAATCTTTCAAAAATATACGCTTTTATTGATAGCGTATAAACATTGCGCCACAGTGATTGATGCGTATTTTGGCAACATTATGATTTCAACCAATAGGATTTTTGAGTCCGCTGACGGCTGACGGCCCGGAAACACCAAATTTCCTTGAGATTGTTACAGGCCTATATTCTATAGGCCTGCCACGTAGGCTACATCAGTCGGTACGGGTGCAGAAATATATTTTCTTGTAACGTTTGCGACGACGAGCCGTATCGGCATAATTTGCCTATTGAAATTTGATCTAGCTTTGCTCACGGACATTGTGAGCACAATGAAAATTGATATTCCTTATTGTGTAACTGATAATATTCATGACAACTGAAAATATACAATCTTGTAAATATTTACTGCGTAATTTCTGCGTCATTTCGTCGCTCACTTCTTTCTCAATGACCTCTGCTCAATGACAAAACGCACTTAGTTACCCACCCTAATTGACGTTTTTTGTTACCCCCCAGATTTTGGGAGATACGTGACCAGCCCATAGCAGGGAACTTTCCCAGCGAGTGGCAATTAGAAAGTTCCTGCCACGGAGGTTGGCATCAGAGAGTTTACGAATGTAAGAAGGCGACGTCAGGACGACAGCTAAACAAACTGTTTGAAATAAATGATTGTATGGAAATCTTGTCTTGTATTTACTTTCGTATGAATTTAAAATAGTTTCGAACGAGTAAAACAGAGCTTTAACCCTCAAGCAATGTTGATCAACTCTGCTAGAAAAACTACCTGTCAAAGCGAGAAATGCTAGCGTACTATACGAGACGTGAAAATATGCATTTTGCCGTTGTCGACAGAGCTTGGACAACGTTTAGACTCTAGAAACCCCGCTATATTTTAATTATTCATTTCTATTGTGCTATTGGATTAAGGTCATTGTATTGATAGCCGTCGTCCTGACGTCGCCGTCTCACATTCGTAAACTGCCTATTGATGCATGCTGTTGTGACTTGAAGCTTTTATATTAATTAAGTTCAATGTTGCCATGGTATAATTGCGGTTGTAGGCCGTATATTAAAAGTGGGAATGTTTCAGCATGCTGTTTTTGTATGTGGCGAGCGCAAACAAGACAGAAGAAATTAATTTGCGACTTGGCGAGAATCTGCTAATAGATTCGCTTATGTTACATCTTTCTACACATTTAACCGCAGCCCTACCAGACTTCAATAAAAGAAGTGATAAAAATTTGTGTATAGATCGAAATTATATTTACTTTACTAATGAATTGCGGAAACAAATTAATTCATTTCGCTAGCTTTGCACAGAATATCAATGTATGTGAGAACTATCCAGCTTGACTATTTAGTTTCAAACCAATTTTGGCGTACAAGCCTTCTAAGAGATAGTGCATGTTTCTGCGCTGAAATACATGTAGCAAGAAGATTTTAATTCTAAATGAATCACGGAGATTTTAATTCTAAATGAATTACTAATTGTTACTATAGCAGATCCCCAAAGTATAAAAAAACAATTAAAAATCTTTTTATTTCCTAATTTTTATTATGACTGAATGCTTCTTTGCCTTGGGTGGTTGTTTATTCGCCCATGTCGCACTAGCACTGTTTCTTTACCAACAAATTGTTGTTCCAGTGATAATTAAACACTGCTTTCATCCACGAAATATGCGTTCGAGGCTGCCAATAGCGTTATTTACTGCAAACGAAACTGCTTGAGTGACTTGAGCAGACCTATGAATTCCCGTTGTAAGCCATGTAGCAAACGTTTCACAGTTGTTGTTATGGAGCTGATACCCTGGCCATTTCGAAGGGTCTGCTAACACTTCTTGCGCTTTGGTCAACGTTTTTTCAACAGGCAGTATCTCCACTGAGCTGTGAAATTCAACTCGATATAGTTTCCCATCCAATGCCCCCTTCCAGAATTGATGTAAATCACATATGCACGGTTTTGCGTCAGCTTTGTTTTCCCCGGCGATGTGAGCCACTTTACCATTGCCTAAATACACGCCATGGTGATAGTAATACTTCTCAGAGCTAAACAGAGGATAAAGGGAGGCTAAAGACGGGTTTATATTTGCATATAAACCTCTAACTGCTATTTGTGTTGCTGGAGATAAAGTGCTGATTTCGTGAATCTCTGCTAATTTGTACTCCATCTCTACACCATTCCAGCTTTTCAAGTATTCTTCCTGAAACGCTTGCTTAATTAAAATGTCGCAGTTCGCTTTCCTCCAACAACGCTTTGTGTCCTTCCAAAAAATTCGTTTATTCAAATTAACGCTTCGTCATTATCACACGTATACAAACACCTGCTATAAATTAATATTCATAAATGATATTAAATCACTGGTACCGGTATTTTCAACTCAAAATGTATTATCACATGGCATACAAGTTGTATAATTATATGGAAGCTTGGCAAGCCCGGCCTGTTAGCAGTCAGATTTGCGTAATTATATTTGTTGTAGAAACTACTGTACTTCATATGTTTGTAGACAACTCATCCAATCTTAGTTATAGAGATTTCAGCAGCTGAGATGAAATGTTACGTTCCATGCCGTTGTCCCAGTATTTTCGCCCCCCCCCTACAATTTCGCCCCCCGAATATCGCCCCCCCCCGGGGCGAAAATCCTAGGAAATTCGCCCTCCTTTAGGAAATTCGCCCCCCTTTAGAAACTTCACCTTTTCTTTAGGATTTTTGTCCTCCGTTCAAAATTTTGCCCTTCCTAACAGTTGCATGAGATAATTATTACATGGCTTTAGTCATTTGAAATCAGTATCAATTCAAAATTGTTAAGACAGAGCTTGAAATAACAACCGATCAATGATCGGCATGGAATTGCTTATGATCGGCGGAAAAGCAGGGTTTCGGTTTCCAACCGGAAAAAATCAGGGAAAGTCATGATCGAGAACTTTGGGAACGTTATTTCAAGCCCTGTAAGAATACAAATTTACAATTACATGTATCGAAAGGACTTACACAGTTCACAATTAATAGAATAAGAATTATGACGCTTCACAGCACACCATGCATATTTTGCATTTTCAGTGTTAATTCTTAAACTCATTGTTAAAAAGTAATCACCGTGGTGGTTATTGTAATTATTGGTATTGTTTTGCATCCACATTTTGTCGTCATCGGAAAATGTATATATGGCTTACAAGTTGTCACTATTTTTTACTGGCATTATTTCAATATAGTTTGTAAATTTCAGAAGCGAAGGGTAGACTTGCCAATAAGCAATACTCCAATAATATACGTTTCGAAAAAGACAAAAAGCTTTTAGTTTTGCAGAGTTACATTCTCGAATGTGGGCACTAATAAAATCAAAATATCATGAAATTATTTTAATAAACAAATTCCATAGATTTTTTATTAATCCTATAGTTTATTGTTAGCAAGTGAATAATGTGGCGGCTATTGTTAACACTGGTATTGATAAAATTTGCAAGCGATTTTTTATATAATATGTTATGTGAATGTAACTGCCAGAAGAATACGACAACATGATTTTATGCGATCTCTGTGGGCAATGGTTCCACTTTAGATGTGTAGAATATGACACATTGATACTAGTCTAAGTACCTCAAATGAGTGGTTATGCAGACTATGCACACCACCAGCTGCTAAGAAGCTTTTCAACTTGCAATCGTTTTGTTTTTAGATCAAAAATTCAAAATTTATATGGGGGGCGAAATTCCTAAAGGGGTGCGATATTCCTAGGAGATTCGCCCCCTTGGGAGGCGATATTCCTAGGAAATTCGTCCCCGGGGGGGGGGGGCGAATATCCTAGGAATATCGCCCCCATTTTGAGAGGGGGGGCGAATTTCCTGGGGGGGCGAATCCCCTGTGACACCGTACGTAGCGAAGAATACAAACTGCAAAGTTTGGCAGTGCAACTACTGTAGCTGAACATACAGGTATAAAGAGAACTTCGACGTTTGGAGCGAAGGTTCAACATCTAGAAGCTAGAGTACTGGCTGTGTTAGAAAAAACATGCTTGTGCTTTTATAGTAGTGCATAAAAAAACAGAGATAGGTGTGAAAGTCACCTAACACACGCCTGCATGTAGTGACCTTCAATAACGTGTTTAAAAAAGAACAATTATCACTTATTTACTGAGACCGAGGGAAACGACAGTCGAGGGTCCACAAAACACACTGCTTTCCCGAGGTCTCAGTAAATAAGTCTTTTATCATATATCAATAGTCAAAGAAACAACATATTAAAGTACAAATGAACGTAAATACATAAAATATTTTATTGTTAAAACGTTATATTAAACACTAGCTACACTGCAGTTACTTAAAGTGAAAGTTTTAATTACGTACTAGCCATGTCCAAAGGTCGCATCTTCACGTGATGGGGCACGTGATTTTTTTTGTTATTCTCCGGTCGATAACGTATTATCTCCCTCTCGCGCTGCTGCGAGGGAGACAGTCTAATTTCGTCACTCTCACGTGATATGCTCTCAACCAATAAAACACTAGAAAAATGCGACTTTGACTATTGATATATAATAATTATTAATTGTCTTTTAAATAGTGCCCTAGATAAAACATTCGCGATTCGCTATTGACTATGACCGCAACCCGCATTTTTTATCCGCGCTACTGTTACTTCAATTTAACAATTTGTCGCCGAAGGCGAGGTGGTTACAAGCTTATATTCACTGAGCCGAAGCATAGTTAAATTGAATAGATGGTTTGGAAACTCATTAGAATAACAACACAATGATTGATTATGTTAATCAATGTTTATCCACTCGCCGTCACGTGCAAGTACAATTCTATCAATAGGAATTTCCAACTTATCCTACTTTTCGAGTCACGGATAGGCAACTTTCCCAAAACATTGCTATTGGTTAGTTGGGCAAAAAAACAATACGCACGTGACGGTGAAAGCCCAGATTTATGGATAAACGTTGACTAACGTAGATATGGTGAGTAATGTCACCTCGATTTTCATTGTTCTGAAAGAGAATGTAAATCCCGTATTTCCCTCATACCCCATGCATAAGCTTTTGTCTTCTAAATTTCCCAGGGAAATTTAATTAGTTGAAAGCAAAAAATTTCTTTGTTCCCTAATTTTTCCCTGCATGCTTGATGAGGGAAAATTAGAAGACAAAGAAATCTTTTGTCTTTTACTAAATTTCCCGGGGAAATTTAGAAGACAAAAGCGTACTTCATTACATCTCATTGGAGAGCCGTACCTCATCGAAAGTCCTCGGCACAACAGTATAGACAGCGTCTGACTACATCATCCCGTACATATACGAACGATCACTTTGTTAGTTTTTATTCCGAAATCTTGAACATTTCAATTGTGGGATAAAATTTGGTTTATCCACATGCCTAAAAAGGATGAACACAGAGATGTATTTCTGCGCGTGCGTATATACGAAAAGTGTAGTCCACAATCATAAGACAATCAAACAGCATCCAAAACAGACCAACACACCTCGCGCAATTCCCTCGATGATCATAATATTACCAAGGCTATTGGTTCGCTCTAAAGCTGTTTTGCTGTCGAAGAACGAAGTTTTTCTGTCAAAGTTTCCTGTATTCCTGTTGGTTGATCCTGTTCCTCTTTGGTGTTTTCTTGTTGGTGATTCCTGATCCTGATGCCTGGTCCTGTCTGGTCCTGCTTCGTCCTTCTTGGTCCTGTCTGGTTACCTGGCCTGCCATATCTTCCTGGTTCTTCTTTCAAAGATTCAACAACGTCCCGCGGCAAATAGTCGCTTGGAAGGTGCTTGACCGACCCCTAATAGCCAGGTTTCTCGGTTGTAGGTTTCTTGGGGTAACGTTTTGTGTACAATTTATTGTTTGAGGGTTGTCCTCATATATGATGGAATTTCTTGCTTCGTGTTAAAGTTGTTATAAGCATGAAGATTTCTTTCAACCTCGTACCCAGGGCCTGCCCGCCCGATTTTTTAATATGGCCGCCAAAGCGGGCGAGGCCCTGGTAAACGCTGGTCACGTGTCAGGCAAATACTCCAAGATACTTGGAGTATTAGCCTGCGAGCGGGTTTTATGGAAATAAAGACAGGGGGGCGACGAAAAGTTCACGAATAGAACTTGAATTGCGGCGAATTATTTATATTCTTTTATTTTTTGTTGTAATCTTTCTTTTTAACATGTTACGTTTATATATACGTCGAATGTACATCAATCTTCTTTTATTTCGCATTATATAAATCGCCGAGGTGGCGATGTTTCGAATTTTGAAGGAAAATGGAGCCAACCTCGTACATACTATAAATTTGTGATGAGTTCCATCAAGTAAAAGGTACAGTATGAATTATAAAAGGTTTAGAAGTATTTTATTGTTACAAATTATTTAGTAGATTCCCATTATTTGTTACACTGGCTACCTCTATGAAATGTATATTTCGAAGGCTATTTAATATATTTTATACAGTATGTTAATATAGTTAGCTGAATTTGTCATGGTGACACGATAATTTTTAAGAATATTCTTAAAAATGAAAAATCGTCTAAAAATATCACTTTTAATTACAAAATTATCAATTTCCCAACACATATATGTTAGGCATGTTATTATACGTAATATAAGAATTTATGTGATACCGAGATGTGTAACGAAATAGAGAGATATTTTGCCTTGCTTGTAAACAATGCTACTCGGCAGTGGCGTAGCAAACTCTATAATTGGGGGAGGGGGGGGGGGGCAAAATTCATATCTTCGTGTTCACAGACCTTAAAAACAATTTATTTCGAAAGAAATTAATGACACAGAACACGAATATATGAATATCTCCCCCCCCTTCCATTATCGAGTTTGCTACGCCACTGCTACTCGGACTGTTATTAAAAGCGCTGTGAAATTTCCAAATTCCAACATTGCCATTGGCATTCGGACTTCGCTGAAACTTGATGCTCAAGTATACTTCCCTACAATCATGGAAATAGTATCCGGAAATTTTTGAAAAGTCTACGAATTAATTTTCATAATTGCAGCTGTTATCAAACCTATGGTAAAATAATCCGACAATATCCTACTCAAAGGTAAGTCAAAGACTCTTCCATGCGTGTAAGTTACAAATACGAATACTGTATGTGACTGCGTATTTGCATGTAACTTATATTTGACACTATACAGAATACAGTCCACATGATAAATTTGATAAATAGCTTTAATTGTGACATTAGCTTTACTGTAACTTGTTGGTCGATGTTCTTGCAAGTAAAACGCGAGAAATTTTTACTTTGTCATATATGACACTGAATCAAACTCTAAGTCTAAGTGTTATTTTTTTTCTTAACTTTAATGACTGATGTTTAGGACAACAGGACGTGTGTCCCTAATTAAGTCCCACCAAAGACTTACATTTAAGAAATAGAAAACATTTTCGTGTTTCTATAGAGTTATAGAATCACGCGTGAAAGTTTGGGAGAAACGAGTACACAGCACCAACACAGAAAAAAACCGATACCAACAACAGGTCATGTTCATGCGCTGTGGTCGCAAAAAGCACGAGGGCAAGCGCAGGCACGTAGCGAAGCATCTGAAGTTGAGGGTTGTCGGAGGATTTTACCTGAAATTTGAACTTCAATTACAATGCTAAGAATTTACCTGAAATGCTTTAATTATAATAGATAATTTTTCCCATTGATTTCCACTGTTATACTAAGTTTCCGAAGAAGGGGGTCTGTCTGGGGGTCCTCCCCTGAAAATTGTTACATTTTTCAAGCTAAATTCAGATTCGCTCTTAAGCTTATTTATAACCACGGTCTTCTTGTCTTTTCCATATATCCCGCAATGGACGGAACCGAAAGTGCCACTACCGAGCTCTTCTACAATTTTAAGTAATTTCCAATCAAATGGAGGCAGACCATGATCTATTCGCCTTCACTTTATTAGCGATGGCATTTTAAAGCTTCCATGCACTCCAGACATCCTGAATGTCAGCAGGAAATAGCGACTGGCAAACGTGTTACCGCTATTATATTTGACAATCGCAATCACAATCAAAGCAATGAAATATTATATTACATGTAAGTAATGGCGACAATGCATACCGAAACTCTTTCTTAGCGCAATCATGGCTATTACACATTCGCTTTACTTAGTATATCCTGTGTGAAGTTTACATTAAATGCCCGTTTAAAAGTATTAAACTGGGTTTTTTTCACGACTTCGTGTCCTACAATTTTGGTGTGACGTCAAACTTTCGATTAAGCTTCATTTTCTTTTATTGCATAATTTGTAAATTGAATAAAATTTTTATTTAAATTTTTATTGGATTTCCCGATTCCCGAATTTCCCGATTCCCGGATTCCCCGATTCCCGGATTCCCCGATTCCCGGATTCCCCGTTCCCTATTTTAAAGATAGCCTTACGACTTTTACGCAAGACTTTTTACGCACGAAACACGACTATTCACCCAGTTCCGCCAAAACTCAAACATAACAGGCGGCATGCATTCAAGGCAAGTAATTGATGTTCGACACGGATACATTAGCCATTTTAGCCTCATCATTATCCAACCCCCTAAAACAGATTTTTTTGGGTTTATGTTCTTTTTTTATTCGCTGCTTGTATATTAAGCACTTATTAATTTCCACGACTTTTTACAAAGACTAATTAGTTTTTCATGCAGAAAGACGTCTTTCAGGTCAACTGTCAAAGCGATACATCCGTCTAGCTATTTATGTAAAGGCTATAATGACTGAATTTTTTAATTACATGTGGTTTGTATATAATTTGAATTTGCAATTCTGTGGCAGCTGCTGCAAGGAGCCCAAGGACTTTTTCTGTCCTTTAATAAAAGATAAAAAAGGTCGTATGGCGAAATAACATATGATGATACATGCATGTGTCGGCAAAATATAAATATTTCCTAACTTACACGTTCACCATTATTCCTATCTTACACGTTGACCATCACCCGCTACTATTAAACTGCTCAGTTTCGATAGTGCTGCTGCTACCAAGAAGAAATGAATTAAAAATGTTTCAATACAGTGCGCCGAGAAGGGATTATTAACCCATGGACGAAAGAATGCCTTAGTCGCTTGCCTTCAAAACCACGCCGCAGAAAATGTAAATTCGCCATCAACACCGTTGTGACAGCGGATAGTGTCCCCCCGCGGATAGTCCAGGTAACCAAACATTTGGATTAACAGTATCTTTGCTTCTCGAGCCAGCTGCATCGTTTACTGTTTATGGTTTAGCATATTTCTTCAGCCGAACACCGTTGTATGACTTCTTCAACTCCTTTCCATCTTTGACAAGTTTGTAAAGTCCCTTTGCCAAGCAATTGGAAATAACATATGGTCCCGTCCAAGTACACTCTAGTTTACCACCTTTCCTTGAATCATTTCTCACTGATTTGAGCAAAACTTCGTCACCGCTTTTAAAGGAGGGAGCCTGATGCTTCGTGTGGTAATTCGCCTTCATACGTTGTTGAGCCTTGGATATATTCTTTAAGGCCTTTGCGTTGACTTGTTGACGTATTTCTTTCATTACCCGAACCTTGTTTTCAAACTGTACATGTCCAGCGCCCGCAGTGCTATCATCATTTTTGGGATTTGCTAAACTCATCCGGATATTTGTCATTTTGTAAATAGTCGTATACTTGTTGATACAATGTTGACTCGTTCTCCATACTAAAAGCTTGCAGCCTACTCTCAATACAACGGCGAGTGGGCAACTGTAGTTTGTAAAGACCATCTCTATATACACGTCAGTTGCTTTCTATGTGTTTTTATGCATGTGAGTCATCCAGCCATTGTGCTTTTGTTTACGCGGAATGCGTGGAATGCTTTTGAGTAATCCAGCCATTGAGTACGTAGCCATTGTGCGCCGTTGTTTTTTTGGAGTCATTTAGTTCATTTACTCGATGTATTTGATAATAACAATGTTTCAATTTAAATTCATGTTAAGAAAATTTTCTTGATTTAAATCATATTGCTATATTTATTTCTATTGGTATGATTCGGTCTGAATATTTCGACAGGTAAGTACCTTTAATTAAGATTACTATTCAATTTCTTGATGTGACCATTGAAAAGGTTTAAATTAGTGTAAATTTCTATAAACTTAATAATTATATAGAGTAATTTCTACCAATAAAACCCAAAACCTAATAAGACCTTACATCAGTAGTTTTATGGGAGGACAGTATCCGCTAGGGGGGGGGGGACACTAGTGTCCGGGGGGACATAATCCGCTAGCGGATAGTGTCCGAGGGACACATTCTGCGGGGGACACTATCCGCTGCGACACCCCCACAAGTCGAGGTCTCGTCAGCGTTGCTTACTGAATCACAGATAGCGCAAATCCAGTTGATCGTAACGCGAACTGTGGAACAATCGGTAAGCGAAATAGCATCCAATGCAGCCCGCGCTGCTGTTCAAGCCATGGCAAACTCGACACCTAACACTATCGAGATTACCTTAGTCGTCCAGGATGAAAGCGAAGAAATAACTGTTAATCCCAGCTCAAATACCACGTCAACCAACGCGCTTACGTTTGGTTCCAATCAGGCAGCGAACAGCGTGGCATATGGAAATGGCTTTCACGAGGTTCTCGCGCAGTACATCAAACAAATTCAATCGGATGAGTTTTTTTATTTATCTAAATTTTTACCAAAAAACATGTCAACCAATAACCACTCCGACGAGCCTATGGTATTAACTCTCGAAAACTCAGTAATCAAGGTCAATAAGGCGTCGCAGCTAACTTCTAGGATAACCGATATCGAGCAGTGGACAACCGCATTCACTGTATACATGAGCGTGATGATCCATAAGTTCCCCGGTCGGGGCCAAGAATTGTTAAATTATTTGATTTGATACGCCATGCAGCCCAAACTCACCGTGGACTGGGGTGGTGTGTATACGACCATAAATTTCGATGCAAGGCTGCTCTCAACCCCAGTCAAAATTGGACCCTGATTGATCAGCAGTTGGGGCTGATGATATTCACAACCTCGCCAGACATCGTAGTCCAACAGTATCCTCATTTTTCAAATGGACTCCATATTTGGACTGCCTCCGGGGGCGTTCGAGGAGGCTTCTGTGGAAATTTCAGCCATGCCAATACCAACACCTATGCAACACATGTAATGGCAAACATCCTGGATCTGCATGTCCCTCACTCAATTCCAAGTCAGTCAAATACGATGAGCGAGATTCAAAACGTGAGCACAACTCCTCAAAATCCAAACGAAGTTAAAGACCAGCCACTCCTTACACCTATTTCCATCCAACATTTAAAAACAGCACTTTCAGGTCAGCCAGACCAAAATGTTTCACAGCTTTGTAACAACTTTTTAAATTTGGTGTGCACATAGGTTTTCAGGGGCAACGGGCCCCATGGTTTTCAAGGAATTTGCCAACGGCTTTCGCTAACCCAGATATTGTTTCTTCAAATTTGGCAACTGAAGTTTCGCTTGGTCGCATAGCTGGTCCGTTTTATAGTCCCTATTTAAAATTTTTCAGGTTTCTCCAGTTGACTTAGTACCAAAGAAAAATTCAAATAAATTTCGTACAATTTTCCATCGATGGTATCCGAAGTCAGGCTCAACCAGCATAAATTGTATTATTCCCAAAGAGGATTACAGTCTTCAATATGTAAGAATAGACGATGCTATCGAAGGTATTAAGCAATTTGGTGCAGGTTGCTTTCTTGCTAAAACTGATATTGAATCGGCTTTCAGGTTAGTTCCTATCTATCCAGACGACTATGAGCTTTTAGGCATGTGTTAGGAAGGGAAGTACTATATTATGATAAGGTTCTTCCTTTCGGTTTACGGAGTGCCCTTCCATCTTCAATCAACTTTCAGATGCCCTTGAATGGATTTTGCTAAATAAATGTAATATCTCATTTTTAATTTTTTAAAAACTTGCTTCTAACACCCGTTGCTGTGGCAACAATGACGTTTCAATATGGTGGATAAGTTGGGTTTAAAGTAATGTAACTCGAATATAAAGTTGGTGACCCCCATTTTATTTTCTATAGCATAATGACCTTTCAGAATCATTTTCATGATTTAAAAAAATATGTCATGCCAAAGTTTTTCAAAATCGGAAAATGTAATAATTCGTAATAATTTTCTTTCCATTACAGAATTTTTCTAAAATCATAAAAATAATTCAAAATACTAATAATAAACGACTTCTTTTTATGAAATAAAAATGGGGTTTACCAACCTTATCTTCAAGTTAAATTACTTTAAACCCAAAATGTCAGCCATATTGGATCGTAAAAGTTGTTGCCATAACAACGGCAGTTACGATTCCTTTTGGTGAAAAAATACAACTCTCTAGTTATTATTTGGCTAGTCAGACTTTCTTTGTCTTTTAACAAATAGGAACTTTTGAAAAATTGGGTCTAAATCGGAGATCTTCCATTTTCTAGTAAAATGTAGGGAGTCACCTTAAGTTAAGTAGTGATTTAGTTTATGTAAATATGAACACAAAAGAAGCTGAACAAAGACTTCATATGTTGACACTTATTATATCAGTTGACATTACACATAGATAACGATACAAGTTGTAATCAATGTAATTATGAACACAATATTATACCATTGGCATTTCAAGTTATTGTTTGTTTTTACTTATGCAATATTTTTGCCATTAACACTTTTTAAGTGACAATGTGCCCTACTTTATCTTTTACTTTATCTATAATGCCAGACTATTCTACTGATGAAGGAGAAATTGCTGCCATTTAATCGCTCAAAGATCAAATGTTGTACAAGGCCTGAAACAGAATTTAGCTGGCAATTGAGTGCCCGCACTCTCCCCTTGACAAGTAAAATCATCTGGCATGCATTAGAGAACAAAATAATAAAGTAGGCTGATGTAGGACACAATGCAACTTGATGGTATAGGGGATAAACAGTGGATACACAAGCTAGTTTGCTTTGCCAAGCTGATTTCATCCTGTGCTTACATGAGACTTTTTGAGGTGGGCTAACTCGCCAAAGCTATAAATAGTATAATTTAATATATAAAGTATAGTGCTTTATAGAGATTTTGAGCACTGATAAAAACTTTTGCATGCAAAAATTATCGCTTTTCAACAGTAAACAGAAAAATACATGGATGCTTGGAAATACAGTACCAGATTTATTTCTCGTGTTGAACATGATATCTCACTCGTTCGCTGCGTGCACTATCGAAATAAATCTGATATTTCCGTGCACTCATGTATTATTCTCTATATAAATAGATTTTCTCATGGCTATACCTTTGTTTTGCAAGGGACGATTAAGGTCTAAATACAAAAATAATTAGGTCTTGGCATTACAGTTAATTAGTGATTATAATTATATATATTATATGAGTTAAATCATCTGGCAGTAATAAAAGTTGGGTAAAATGTCCCTCAAGCCTCGGTTGGTTTAGTAAACTTTTACTAAACCAACCTCGGCTTTCGGGTACATTTAATCACTAATAAACCTGAATACCATGCTTTTACTGATAAGAATCATTCACAAAGACCTTTCAATAATTTAATATAATCAAACTATATTTGCTTGCCACGTGGTTTTGTCTGCCAAGCAGGAAAACGTAAACAAATATCAAATTAACAACACTAAACTAAAGAGGTTTTTCACGTTTTCTAAATGAAACTCAAACGATGCCAGCTTACCAGTTAGTTTGAACTGATTCCAACCCGTTTATAGTTCTGCACAACTTTACATAAAAAGAAATTTCGAATGTATTTATTAAAAGCCTTTCTCCAACCTCGTTCCCAGGCTCTTTGCTCTTGGGAAGCAAAGACCCTGGTCGGAGCTGGTCACGTGAACCCCCAGATTTTGGGGGTAAATTGAATTTGATCTCAGGGAGGGGTAGTAGAGTAGTCTGTTTGTTGCGTTTGGAAAATTGCAACTTTATGTGTTATAATTTCGGGTGATAAAAATGTAATTTGCAACAAGAAATTGTGAAAGGAACTGTTCTAAATTCGTAAATCATGACAAAGACTTCCTGCTATACTGAATGTCATCAATAATAAGTGTTGCGTTACATTTCAAGCGAGAAGCTAGATCATATTTCATTTGCAAGGAAAACACTCCACACGCGCCTGGCTTGCGAAGTTTAGCACGTATCGCCGTAGAAACATACATATCTTCTACACACACTGATCGATCAAACGGTATTAAACGAACGATATGGTTCTTTATAGTTGAAGTGTATCCTGTCCGATATTCAAAACAAAAGATTTATTTTATAACGGGATCCTTTGTCTTTGATTTCCCAAACATCGCCAACATATGTAAACAATAGTGCTATTCTGACTGTAAAAGCACAGGATTAAAACCCGTTATGGACTGGCTATAAAATTCATTTCATTTACATTGCTGAAACTCAACGATCAAGAAAGATGATGTCGAAGTGTAGCTAGCTATCTGTTATCACACAAACGCCAAGACTCCTCCGTGCGTTTCCGTGCGTGCGGTACAACTTGAATATCTAGGACGATATATGCACCAGACACCTGGTATTGTACTTTATATAAATTATTTCATATTTTGTGTATACAGTAATTTGCAACATGTATAATATTAGACCTTTCATTGACATTGGCATTGTCCATTGAGGGCTTTATTGAAGAATAAACCAGCTTCTTTAGACTTGTATAATGGATTAATGCCGCTGTGAGTTATCAATATTTAAATCAACTTTAATCTTTATCGTATACTGTAATCGACATTTTAGAAGTTTAGTCTGTTTTACCAAACAATACTGGAGGCAAACAACCTATCTATCAATGGAAACTTTAAAAGGTTTGTTGTAAAACTCATTAATATAAGCGAGACTTCGTGTGCATATACAGTTTATGAATTATGTATATCCCTGATAAAACGTAAGACACTTTATACCAGATATAATAAAAAATACTTTGCTAAACCTTTTCGGCTGTCATTCCTTTGCATTTAAGGGGAGAGGGGAAATGGCGATAGAATTTATAGGAGATGCTGTGCAATATTTTGGCTTCAACAGACCGGTACTCGTGCAGACAAAAAAGGAAATTCATGCAGTTTTGAATTGTCGTATGTCAGCTGTGCACTGTCGATTTCAAACAATTTTGTACGTTATATTTTGTCTTCCTGGTGTTTAATATAAACGATGATAACCTTTTAAAAAAAAATCTAGAGCAATATGTCTATAAACAGTTTTAGAATCAATAGAATGGACAATGTGTATTTGGCTTGTGTCCAAATGTGTCACGTTTAAGACCGGCAAGGCGCTAATCCTACGACCTATAAACAGTCGTTTTTAAGACATCTGTTTAACAAAATTTATACCATGTCCATATCAGAACAATTCATTGGCATATTATAAATATCAGAGCCAGAATAGAAACGTATGCGTGAAATAAAACTACGCCCGAACCGCAGCGAACCCCGAGAAAATAAAAATATTTCAAAGCGTACAGTCATACGTTCTCGTTGCTTGACTTCCTGAATTTTCTGTTGCTATAACAATCTGCATTTTAGCATGTTTGTATAATTTAAAAGCAAACAGAAACCAATTTAGCAAGTAGTTTGAGGTATATATGATTCTTGAAGATGAATTAATGATTGTACAGAACGGCCACTCCTTACAATCGAAGTGCGGAAGTGGAAACATGTAATATGAGACTTTTCCATCCCCCTCTTGGGCTATCAATTTTCAATGGGTCACGTGACCAGCTCCGACCAGGGTCTTTGCTTCCCAAGAGCAAAGAGGCTGGGAACGAGGTTGGCCTTTCTCCAGCTAATTTTAGCAGACGCCGCGGGCTGACTGCCTGCGGGCAGATTCAGGTTCCACATACTGATCTATTTAAAATAATGGAGTGAGCTTACCGCACTGCTGAATAAGAAATTCAAAGAAAAAACATTTCTAAAATACTTGCATATGGAAAGTATATTGCAATTGTTCTGATTTTGACTTACTTCCATAAAATTCTGTGTCATAATGCAAAATTTATTGTACCCCTGGGCCTGAGAAAATCCTTTTATCTCCGGCCCCGTATGAAATAAATTTTTGGTGGCCCCTAATTGTTGAAACAGGGTTCAAAATGAAAATTTTGTCATGTAATCGCGCGTTTGATTTTGATAGAGTTTTGCATTACAGACAGGAATGAAGCACTTCCCCTGAGATCGTTTTGAACCTCCCCTGGAAAATGTTTCACTTCCCCTTGGAAATGTTTCAATGATAGATCAAAGTCAAAATTTGACATTTTCTGGTTGGCTACAATTCGTAAGAAAGTTTTTTTCTAAAATTGAAACAGTGACAGCGATTCATCTCTGTGTCAAGTACCCTTTTAATGTAATGGTTTGAAAGAAACTTTGTAGTGTTAAATTGTATTAAATGAATGGCAAAATTGGATGATCATGAGTTGTACAGACATAATTCATTAATACACTGATTATATGTACAGTGCATGCATACGTCACGTCGTTGACTTTGGCCCGTTCTGAACCATAACTTTCCATGGGGGTCTTGAGCTACATTGCTGCACCTCCCCTAATTTTTTCCCACCTCCTCTACTATTTCCACCATTTTGACTTACTTTCCATGTAATTCTGTTTGATATATGTATATTATTAATATTTTCAATCAGTGACAGTGTATAATTAAAATATTATAGCTGGAATAGAATCTCGAATTAGCCCCATTTACAACATTTAAAACTAACCCTAACCCAGAACATTGAGGGGAAACAGGAACACAGCATGCACCTCGGGAATAAACAGGAACTCTTCAATTTACTCGTGACGCACTAGCTTCAAGGCATAGTACAAAACATGGACTGGATCCATGGACTGGACCCAAAATTGGACTCAAAATTGGACTCAAAATTTCATCTAAAAATCTATTATTTTTTAGGAGAGAAAAAACCCTCCGAATATCATGTTTTTCATTTAATTTGTATAGGCAAAAAACTTCACGTCTGCAACACTTTAATTTTCCTTGACCTATCTAGCTATTTGTCTTCTAAAATTCTACATTCTATTGTCTATACGTATTTGGGAAAATACTCAGTAAATAATAAACCTTACACATGTTTGTGAAACCTCTCGCAACGCAACAAGCTGAGGGGAATTTGCGCAATGGACAATACATCCATATAAATCATTCCATCAATACATATACATCAATATATAAATATTTTAATTATATGCATTTTGTATGTGTATAATTGTGATGCACTTTCGATATATTCCATCCTCTAAAGCCCGGATCATGTAAACGAGAGCGCAAGTCATTGCATCACAGTCACGAATTGCTATATCGGTAGATTGAGCTCTTATACTATAGGGAAATAAAACTCCCATGAATTTCTTAAATCTGTTGCAACTTTATTCACCTGCATACCGTTCTCGGAAGAATTGTCGCAGTGACTGCCTGAAACATCGTGAAACTATTTTAAAAATTTTCCCCATGTACAATAAATTTACGTGTAGTATATTTACAATAATTCTAGAGTGCGGGCTAGAGACCTACTAGAAATCTTAGTAGACTTTTTAATTAGGTCTCTAGTTATGCTAGTTTGTATTATATTATGTAATAAATTATTTACAGTCAATCACAATATTAAAGAAAGACGAGAAATTGTTCTTATTATAGAAGTGAATATTTACAAGAGAGAAAAAGACGAGAAATTGTTCTTATTATAGAAGTGAATACCAATGTTGTAGATGCATGCATTCGGGTTCTTATAAGACTACAATATACTATTATTTTTGTCATATAGCAGAATGTTTTATAGCATGTCTTATACATTGTATAGTAAAAAATGTTGTTTAATTTGCGTTTTGAAAGTGCTGTAGAAATTTATATCTATAAATTTTGTTTCTAATGAATTCCATACGTCAACTCCTTTATTTGAGAGAGTGTGTTCTACATAATTTGTTCTTTTATAACATTTGTGGAGTTTTAATGCATTTCTCGTGTTGTATTGATGAATTTGGTTGTTTGTCACAAAATAATCTTTAAAAATTTCTGGTAAATTATTAAGATGGTGGTATCAAAACATAAATAAAGCAGTTAAACAGTCGTTGATTTAATTTGAAGATGCATGTTGAGGATATTTAAATCAAAGTATGATTTGAATGCCAATAAACGCACTATTTTTTTTGTATATTCATTATTTTTTTAATTCTGTTTTTGTAAGTAATACCCCATGTAAGGTTGCCATAAAACAAGTATGGATAGACTAATGCATAGTATATCAGTTTTACAGTATTTCGGTACACGAAATGTCGTATTTTATCTATTATACCAGCAGCTCTAATTAATTTCTTTGCTACCTTAGCTATATGATCTTTCCAGGTCAAACATTCGTCAATGACAATACCAAGGAATACTGTATTTCTAACTTGTTTAATATTATTACCATTGATGTTAATTTTAATGTCTTGCTTTGTTTTTTATTTGAAGATCGGAATAATATTACTTTTGTTTTTGTAGTATTTAGAGATAACTTATTCGCATTTAACCATTCAGCAACTTTATCAATTTCAGTTTGCATAATCTTATTAAGTGTTTTTAGACACTTGTTACTGCAGAATATATTAGTGTCATCTGCAAATAATATAAATAAAATTAATTTGCTACAATTTTCAATATCATTGATATAGAGAAGAAATACAATTGGTCCAAGAATTGACCCCTGCCGGACACCACTTTTAATTAACATTGCTTTTGATTTAACTTGGTTATATTTAACAATTTGTTTTCTGTTTTTTAAGTAATCTTCCAACCACTGCTTGTCATTCCGCGTATACCATAGTGTTCTAATTTTTTAATCAGAATCTTGTGATTAATTGTGTCAAAGGCTTTTGACAAATCGAGGAAGATACCTATTGCGTATTCACCTTTATCGATTGCTTGGGTGATTTTGTCAACAAGTTCAATGATTGCAAGTTCAGTGGATCTGTTTTCCCTAAAACCATACTGATTTTGTGTTAATATTTTATTTTTTTCTATGTGGCTAATTAATCTCTTATACATAAGCTTTTCCAATAATTTAGAAAAACAAGTGAGAACAGATATTCGCCGATAATTCTTAAATTCATTGTTTTCGTTTGCGTTTGCTTTGCAAATATGGGTAACTAGAGCTATTTTTAGATCATCAGGAATAGTTCCAGAAAGAAAAGTCAAGTTGAATATGTGTGAAAGTGGTTCAGAAATTTTTGTACCAATCGCTTTGATTACCTGTAAGCTTATATCATCATATCCAGGTTTTTTTTTGGAATTCAAATTATTTATCTCTCTACTAGGGAGATATTGATCAAAATTTGTTTTGCTATTCGAAAGTTTTTTCGCAAGTCCTGGGCCAATATTTACAAAATAATCATTGAATCTATTTGCTATTGATTTTGGATCGGTAATTTTTTCTCCAGGACTATTTCCAATAAATTCCTTTGGTAACGTACTACTTGTTTTATTTCGATTCATAATTTCATTTAATGTTTTCCACAGTACCTTTGTACCATGTTTATATTTTATTAATTAACTGTTCTTCGTAATGTTTCTTTTTTGCCGCTCTTATTATATGATTTAGTTTATTTTTATATTGTTTGTATATTTTTTCCTTTTTTTCTGTAGGACATTGAAGGTATTTTTCATATAACTTGTTCTTTTGCTTAACTGATCTTGCGATACATTTTGTCATCCATGGGCTTCGGGTTTTGTCAATATTTCTTTTTACTACTTTTCTTCGTAAAGGAAAGTTTTTTTCATAGGCTATTGAAAGTAAGTTAAGAAATTCATTGTAGGACTCTGCCGTGTTGGTTTTAGAAAGTACATTATCCCATGACACATTTTTTATTGTGTTTGTAAACGATTGAATATTGGCATCATTGATAATCCTTTTACAGATAAATTCATTTTTTAAAATTTTTTCATGAAACGTTTTCGAATTTCGTATACTGATGAAATATCGGCAAATGATCCGAGATATCGCTAAAAATTAAACCATTAGAGCTTAATCAATAGTTTCTATATCATTGGTGAAAATATTGTCAATTAATGTAGCGGTATGCTGAGTGATTTTTGTTGGCCGGGGCACAAGTGGTCCGGACATATGATGAGGTGAACAGTTGTTCAAGAAATCTGATAGTATAATCACAAGATTCTGATTTTCATAGATCAATATTGAAATCTCCCATTAGATAGCATAATTTGTTTTCTTTGTCCATTTGCCCTAGCATTAGATTCATTTCAGTTTCGAATGAGTCAAAATGATTATTTGGTGGCCTATATATTACACCTATTATGATGTTTTACCTACAGTTGTTATAATTTCGACAAAGACAGATTCAATTACATTGTCAATACTTGTGTTTATAAGATCAGTGCGTATTTTATAGCGATATAAATACCTACTCCTCCACCACTTTTAATTGATCTGTTTACATTTACAAAATCATAATTTTGGAATTTAAAACGATCTTCGTTAGTTTCATTCAGCCAAGTTTCAGATAAACCTATTATTTGAAACGGTTTATTTAGTGAATATATTAATTCTTTAAAAGAGTCAAATTTGTTATTCATGCTTCTAATATTTAAGTGTATCATTGAAAAGTTATTATTTTGGTTTGTTTCATTTATTTGTTCTTAAAAATCAGTTGGTGGATAATATTCACAATTTATTTTTGACGATTTATCTAGATTTGCATTGTTTTCCGATAGCGCAATATTTTTACTCGTGTCGAAAGGGTTGAATTTCAAATATCTTAGTCTATCCATTTCATCTTTCCTCACATTAATTCCTTTTAAAGCCGTCAATTCAAATTCTAAATCATCGAGTGTTTGGAAGGGTAAAGATTCAGCTAAGCAATTTTGGCACAAGTCAATCGTATTGTTACCTATGTTAAATGATTTTGTGCATGCTGACACAGCATGAAACCGATTCATACATAATATAATATAATATATTTAGATTTATACAGCGCTTAAATTATATAAAATATTCCAAAGCGCTTTACAACAATGAGGTTATACTATATACAAGTAGCTAAAATATTAAGAATTAAGGTATAGGTGTCTATAAATCTAAAAGTTAGAATCGAAAGCTTTCTTAAAAAGGAAAGTCTTTAATTGAGATTTAAAACAGTCAATTGTTTTACTATTTCTAATACCAGAAGGTAGCATGTTCCAAATTGACGGAGCTGCATGCACAAATGCTCGATCACCAAGAGTCTTGGCTCTAGGTTTTGGGATAAAAAGTAGTCCCTGATCATCAGATCTCAGTTGGTAACAGCAGTTCGGTTTTGCTAACAACAGTTCCATAATGTAGCCTGGCGCCATCCCGTGGAGGGCTTTATATACCAGAAGTGCAATTTTAAAATCAACGCGAAACTTGACAGGCAGCCAGTGAAGGTGCATCAGGACAGGGGTAATATGAGCACATCTTGGTATAAGACACGTCACTCTAGCAGCGGCATCGAGAACTCGTTGAAGACGCTGAAGTTGGTATTGGGGAATGCCGAACAAGAGAGAATTGCAGTAGTCCAAGTGTGACGTCACAAAGGCATGTACGAGCGTTTTAGTTAATTCGATGGAGAGAAACTTCCTTATTTGTCGGATGTTGTACAAGCCCCTAAATGCTTTGCTGCAAACCTTGCCCACATGGACATTCATCGACATATGTTCGTCAAACCACGAACCTAGATTTCGGACTTCTTGTACAGGTTTTATATCAGCATCACCAACTTCAATCGAGTCGATTGTAACCTTAGACAGCTGCTGGCGAGTTCCAATTATCAAGAATTCCGTTTTAGTGTCATTGAACATTAATTTATGTGAAACTAACCAAGCACGAACTTCGACGATGCAATTATTAATAGTTTAAATAGCTTGGTCTTGGACAACGGGTGACTCAGGACGGAAAGATAAATAAAGTTGAGTGTCATCTGCATACCCATGGGAAGAAGGTAAGTGCCTGTTAATAATCTGGAACAGTTGAGACACGTATAATAGGAAAAGGACCGGTCCAAGACAGCTTCCTTGTGGTACTCCATAGTTCAACGTAAAATTGGCGGAAAACTTTTGCTTAATATTAATACGCTGCTTTCTACAGGAAAGAAACGACTTAATCCACTTTAAGGCATTTCCGATCACACCAAATTCTAACTTCAACATATCCATCAGAATTTCATGAACAATGGTGTCAAAGGCGGCACTCAAATCCAAGAGCACTAAAAGAGTTACTTTCTGTTGGTCCATGTTCATAAGGATATCATTGTGGACTCTTAAGAGAGCTGTTTCGGTAGAGTGAAATTGACGATATGACGATTGGTTGTTAGGAAGAGGAGCATTATCAGCACAATGCTCAAATAACTGGCTAACAACTGCTTTTTCCGTAGCTTTAGAAACGAAAGACAGGTTACTGACGGGCCTGAAGTTCTCAAAGACTAGATCAAGACCGTATTTTTTTAGAATAGGAATAAGTATGGCAACTTTCCATGCTTCTGGGACGTGACCTTCACTTAACGACAAGTTGATCATTTTCATAATGACAGGTGTTAACTCACTGGCACATAATTTCAGCAGCCATGTTGGGATAGGATCAAGGTTACATGTTGCATTCGACGACTTCATGATTATGTTATGGACTTCTTCTTCTGACAGGAGCTTAAATGAGTCTAATTTGATATCAGGTAAACAATAATCTACTAATGGTGGGTCTACTACAACGTTTTCAATGTCATTTCTAATTAGCTCAATCTTTCGACAGATATATTTTCCGAACTCATCAGCCAGTTTACGTGAATCATCATGTGGAGGCAAGGAGTTTTCTTGAGGTGTGTTGCAAAGTGAAGACATTGCAATGTGAGACATTCAATTGATTTTAGTGTTCTTTGAATAGTTTTGAAGCAAGAAGAACATTTCTTCTTGCGCTCATTGTTAAGTGTGGTCATTGGTTAATGACATGCGTTTTCGTTTGATCATGGGCTTAACGAGTTCGCGAAGTTTGTTTTGTCCGAGGTTTTGTCCATACATTCTAATAATATTTATCACCGAACTCAACTAGCTGTGCGAGCTTATTATTATGCACAAGCGTACCATATTGTATTCCCGTTTATCAAAATCAAATATAGACGTCTCACTTTATGTCGTGGGTTGTTATTATTATAGTTTAGCAGAGTCATTGATCGTACTAATATATTAATTACTATTGCCAATGGTGTAATAGCAATAGTCAATAATTTCCCTGGCGAATTTTTTGTAAAGAAAACGTCTTCAGGCTAGCGTTTTTGAATTATTTTGCGGAATATTTTATGTTTGATCTCTGATGCTACTAAGGCCCTGTTTACATTATACCGGATTCGCTGGTCACGACATCTTCTTTTGCCGTTACGGAGCAATGGTTAGTAGCAAATTCTTATTAGTTTGACATAATTGGCATGTTTATTTGGGTCTCTGAGATTAAACTAATCTTCACAGCCTTTCGATACGTATACCTACAAAATTTGACCCACTCCGATAGCAATCCGGTATAGTGTAAACGGGGCCTAAAACAATTAGATTAGTCGCTCTCGGCTTCTACTAGGTGATAGTTGATTCGGGTTTCGTCTCATCAACTATCACCTCATAAATAAATAAATATAAATATGCTCAACATGATCCTGACCCTAACCGTAACTCTTGTACATTATAATTTATATATATCAGGGCGCTTATATGCCTGCTGTATAAGCGGGTAGGCTATATGCTTAACACCTTCGGCTTGATATATATATATATATATATATATATATATATATATATATATATATATATATATATATATATATATATATATATATATATATATATATATATAGAGTAGCCTACATTCCGTTGCTGGAAGCGGCTAAAAGCTGGGAGACATGTCAGCTAGAACCGACAAAATCACATATAAAAGTATAACCACGCAAAACATCACTCGTGATTGCCCAGCCTGTGCAAAGACTACAAGCCTATTAGAGTGGGTCCAGTCCATGTTTTGTACTATGCCATAGCTTCAAGTAATTTGAATTTAAACGAAATTGTTTATAGATCGACGCCCACACATCCGGGGTTGATGCACTAAACACGCTAAAATTAGATTATTCAGTTTATTACAGAAAATAAAGTATTTATGGTATGTAAAGTGTCCAAAGGGACGAATTTTGCAAACAGATCGAAATCTTCGATAAATTTATGAGTCTGACTCAGTAAAAATGCTGTTTTGTCTTGGTAAAGGTTTTGCTCCGCGGTTTTTATTTCTTTCAGGTGTAATTGATGATATCCATCGTTCTGTGTCATATACTGGGTGTATCAAAAAACGGAATATGCAACTTTGGTGTCTTATTGCGCGCTAGATATGGCGTTCATCGATAAAATTTTTCATAGCAATAAAATTTAAGCCTTTAGCTTCTTACTGTAAGAAGTTAAAGGCTACTGAACCAGACTTTTTCCCTTTTTGTAAAAATACGACTTCATGCGAATCGAATAAAAATTGGCGGTCGAAATTGCATTTTTCCATCGTTGGGAATTGGGCGCGAAACATTGAAAGTAAATTCCAATGGGAATTAAAATACATTCTAAATTGACGGCTCTGTCAATAGGTTATTTGTGAGGGTAAATGCCAACAAAATACACGATTTTGACCAGCTTTTCACTCGCCTTGTAGTAGTCGTTTCTAGCCTGGTACTTTTGTGAAAACATTGATACAGCAATTCAAACCTTAAGCATTATAACCGTGTAATTTAAATAAATATATTCATTTAAATAAATATATTC